GGGAGTCTGACTGGAGTAAAGTGGACCCACCTCTTGCCAAATCTGAACTTGCTGCAGACAGCATCAGAACTAACTCCTAAGTCAGAGCAGATTATTGACCTGCAGGAAAATCAGCATCTCCTTATTTAGGAAGTATCGCGCACGTGGACGGACATGTGTGCACACTTAGCGCTATTTACAGCATCTTTGTGCATGGACCAGTATTTGTCAAGTGTTCCTACCGGGCACTTCTCCAGTGCGTCCCATTTAATTCCCACTCCGTCTCGAGAGTTCAGCTCCAGAGGGACTTTGCAGAAGACAGAGTCTGGGGCAGAGCTGCCGCCCGCACCAGCCTCATCTCGCTGGGTCGACAGAGGGGCTGGCGGTGACAGAGAGGGCTCGGGTGGGTGCCAGTTATCAGCTCCTCGAGCCCGCGGCCCGGCCGCTATCTGCTGGCACTGCCTCGGGTGTGGCTGTGGCTGCCTGGGGCGTGGCCGCTGTGACCCCAGTTTCCCCTGTCCCAGCGCACGCACCTGCACCGGAGCGTGAAGGCCGGTGTGCAGCATGGCCCCCTCTCTGCCCCGGATTACTAAGAAAGTAAGAATTCAGCAAATGATAAAGGTTTTTAGAACCCGGAGTGAACTGAGCTGATCCCTTCCTTCAAGGACAAGCCTTACGCATTTTTCAGTCCCCGTTGGGTTGATGTCGTCAGCAGCTGTGGGGACAGCTTTGTCTGTGTTCTGACTCTTCTTTCTCAAGGCATCCGCACATCCAGCTGCTTCCATTCGTTTCCATCGATACATTTAAGGGGAAAAAAGGAAACGGAAATTGGTTGGGCGCCTACTTTATTCCAGGCACTGTGCTAGGGGACGGTCATCTCAGTGGGACAGGTCACTCCTGAGAGCCACCTGGAGTCACAGCTCGCTACACTGATCCCACCGGCGTCTGTGAGCACGCACTCTGTGCTTGGCGCCGACAGTTCCCTCCCCCGCGGGAGCCCAGCAGCCGGGACGTGCTGGAGACTCTGGGTCAGGAGCCAGAGGCCTCCCTGGCGGGCGTGCAGGGAGGGGACAGAGAGGGCCGTCCAGACTCCTGCGCAGGTAGGTCCACACCTCCTGCAGGAAGAGCCTTGGGAAGGGCAGGCGGTCTCCTACCCCAGCACTGTCCTGTCCCACAGTGGCCTCTGCAGGCCACCCGCTGTCACCTCAGCAGAGTGCGTAGGGAGTGGCGTTACCAGGTCGACCTCCCAGGCTGCATTTCTGCTGTGGACGGGCTCAGTTTGGCTAGATTTCTGAGCACTTGCCCAAGGGGCACTTCTCTGTCCTGCCACCAACTTCTCCTCCCTCAAGTCCTTGCACATCAGAAAAACAGACATCGAGGGCTAAGCCACCGAAGCGCATGTTTTGCCTGGGCTGGCTGGGTGCTCGGCGGGGGGGATTCTGAAACCCACTCTGGTCTCGGCTCTGCCCTCGTCCAGCTGAGCTCCCCTTTCCTTAGCTAGAAAATGAAGCTCACGGCATTTCGGGGAAGAGTAAAAGTGACTGAAAAGAGCTGCACAAACACAGGTGTCCCCACGCTGCCAGGGAGCCTGGCATCCGGTCCCAAGGTCGGGCCTGGAAGCGGAGTCTCAACTTGCAGAGTTTGACTTAGGCCAAACATCGTTAACTTTATTGTCCTTAAACAGGCAGCTTCTGACAAAGTTAAAGCTTTACTTTAAACGGCTTGTTTGTGTGGGTCATGGAGACAGCCTGTTCCCGTGTGTCCCCCGTCCCAGGAATGGGGGTAGGGGTGCCCCTCGCGAGCAGCTCAGGTGCAGATAAGTGTCATGAATGCACTGTTGATCCAAAGACCCTGGCACAGGAGGCCCTGGGCCCTGGTCGCGCCCCTGAGTGACGGCAAACCCCGGGCTGCGATACGCGGCCACCCGACCACCTCCTAGAAACATCGGTTTGCTCACGACTTCGGTCTGCCAGGCACAGCTGCTCCTGCCGCGCGGGGCCACAGGGCCGGGCGGCATCCTCACCTGTCCCTTCCCCCCAGAGCCAACATGGCCGTCCTCTCCAAGGAGTATGGCTTCGTGGTGCTGACGGGGGCCGCCAGCTTCATCATGGTCGGCCATCTGGCCTTCAATGTGTCCAAGGCCCGCAAGAAGTACAAGGTGGAGGTGAGTGGGGACACGGTGCTGTCGTGGGCGTGTCCGGGCAGAACTCGCCGTCCGACTGTGGGTTTGGGGTGGAAGCCACAGCTGCGGGACCGGGCCTGGGGGAAGTTCAGCCCCTTCCTGGCGGGAAGACGGCAGGGAGCACGGGGAGCCGGGGGCGGGTTCCACCTGCGGAAAGACCAAGCCGGTGGGCGGGAGGAACAGCCTGGCGGCGTCCCCGGAGCTGTTTGCTGGGAGGAGCGGCTTCTAGAGGGTTGGATGGCAGCAGCGTTTCCTAGAGTCAAACGTGGTGTCTCCGTGACTTTCCCGCCTCCCGGGCAGTGGAGGCTGGTCTGGGCTGGGACAGCGGACGCGGGAGGCCTGCCCGCTGCTCCTTGCATTCTGTCCCATGAGAAGAAAGATCATGGACGTCGTCCTGTGTGTCACTGGAGTCGTCCCGTGGGCCATTCCACTGTTTCTGCTCGGCAGCTTACACTTAGACGAGCTAGAGCGTCTTTTAAAGTTTTCACGTGTAGTCCTTTTCAAAGGCCATGCCATCAAACTCTCACACACTCAGTTTCTGGGCCCGTTGAGGGAAGTCTCACGAGGACGTGGCATTTGATGGCTGCTGGGGCGGCTTGTTCAGGTGGCGTCCCTGCATCTGAAACGCACCTGTGACGCGTAGCCTCAGAGAGAAGCGGGGAGTCTGGCACATTCTTGTTACTGAGCATTAGCAGAAAGCGACTGAATCTGCCTCTGAGCACCCAGGCCCTTGTCACTGTCGCCGGTACGATGGAAGACGCTTGGGGATAGGTTATCCTTCAGCTTGATTTGCACGGTGACGCTGCGTGCCGCCCTGGCGCGCGTCACCAGCAGGCGCTCTGTTTCCACAGTACCCCACCATGTACAGCGCAGACCCCGAGAACGGACACCTGTTCAACTGCATTCAGCGAGCCCACCAGAACACGTGAGTGGGGCGGGGCCTGCGTCCCCCCGGGCCCCTGCGGGGGTGGCCTGCGTCCAGCGCCTGCGCGCTCGGTGCTCGCTGTGTGGGGCGGTGGCGGCGTGGCGGTCATGGGCAGCTCGCACGGCACCGTGAGAAACGTGTGTGAACAGACAGCGGCGCGGATGGCGGGTTGGGGACGTCCCCTCCGAGCCGCCCTCCGCGCTGCGCTCCCGCCTGCGGCGCGCACCCGCTGCGGGACGGAGGGGCGTCCAGCTCTGAGAGGACGTCTGCTCTGAGTCACGCGCCCCTCCTGGTCAGCTTGTCAGGCTGGCGGTCCCTGAGTCACCTGAGTCACCGTGTTCTCGGTCACCTCCACCCCAGAGGGCGGGGCTTAGTGGCTTGGTCCCGCTCCGTGCGTTTTTACTCTCGGGTGTCTGCCTGGGCGAGGAGGAGGGTAAGGGGCTCTCAGTCCCGCGTGGACGTGCTTAGATGGGGCGCTTCCTTAAAGAGTTTCTTCCTGTCTGTTCCAGGTTGGAAGCGTATCCGGCCTTCTTGTTTTTTCTAGCTGTTGGGGGTGTTTACCACCCGGTGAGTTTTTCCAGGCGGTTTTCATCTTGGATACTATTTATTTCATCCAGGCACCATGTATTTAAAAGAATTTCATTCAGTTACTTCTAACAGAGTTCTTTAGGTAGAATTTGCCCCATTTTTTACAGATAAGGGGAAACATCTTGGAGATCACATGACTTTCTCAAGGTCAAATAGCTACAGAATAGAAGAATCAGAATTTGAACCCAGCTGTGATTCCAGAAGGTTCATGTCCATAAGCGTTTCCCTTTGCACTTTCATTTGTTCATGCAGCAAACACTTACTGACCACCTGAAGTCACCTCAGTGAAGCAGCCGGGCAGAGACCCGGGTTCCTGGAGGTGACTTCCAGTCCCTGAGTGTGTTCCCAGGCCCGTCTGAAGGAGATGCGAGCCAGAAAGAAACAGCCGGGGAGGCGGAACGGGGAGACAGTTTGAGTGGGGCGGCCAGGGAGGAGGGCCTTGCCGAGGTGACAATTAGGCAAGACTTAAAGGAGGTGAGGGAGCAGGTGCCACGAGGCCGCAGACACCCTCCAGGCCCCGAGGCGGGAGCCCGTGGCTCGGGGAGCAGTGGGAAGAACGGTGCAGCGTCACTCGGTGCTGAGCAGGACGTGCGGGCGGGGACAGACGAGGCCAGGCTGCACGGCCACCGACCTAGATACAGGTTTCCTGAGCCAGGTTACTTGCCACTTGGGTTCCGCTGAGGACAGGGAGTGCTTCCTTTTCGGGGCTGGTCTCCCCTCGCCGGGCTCTGAGCAGAGCGCAGGCACCCCCTTCCTGTCCTGAGCCTGCACCTGCGCGTCTTACGCTCTGCTGAGCACTGCCGGGAACGGCACATCCGCCGTTCATGACCTTGAAGTCTGGTATTTTTTCAAGGGAAACAAATCTGATCTCTTAGAGAAGATATTCCTCCTCGTGCCTCCAAGAGCCCAGTCCTGGCAGGCGACAAGACGGCCGTCCCTCTAGATCAGGCAGCACCTGGTGTCCACCCCGCTCCACGTCCCGGGTCCCAGGCCTTGCGCTTAGCCCTTGACAGTCCTCTCAGGATGACTGAGGACAAGCAGCCACATTGTTCCTAGGGTGCCAGTAACGAGGCCTCGTTCTAGTAAACGGTGACCAGCAGAGGTAGTGACTTGTGGGGCTGCCGTTTTTACTTTTGCTCGTTTTGTGCTCCGACTGAAACTTAACGTGACCCAGAATCATCTAAACAGACGAGAGTCCTGAGGTAGTACCCTTACCCGCACGGAGGCCACGCGCTACTCAACTGGAAAGGTGCTTGGGGACAGTGACGCTCACACCCTCACACCCCTCTCTCTCTCCCTTATCCTCCTGACTCCTTTGCATCAAAAGGAGGTTCACCCCAGGACAGCGGCCAAATGGAAGGCATTTTCATCTTGCTTAAGTCATTACTGTCTCTAATCAAGGGTGTTGGGGATTTCCCCTCCACGGCCGCGTGCTCTGGGGTTCTCAGCATGGCTCACTGTCCCTTTTCCTAGTGGAGCCCCACACCTCTGTGCTGCCCCTCCAAGGGGACCTCCCCGAGATGCAGCACAGGCAGCTCAGCTCACGGTCCTTCTGCTCCCAGGCCCACCCGAGACACAGGCTTCCCCTCGCGGCTTCCCAAACCTGGATGTTGGTGAAGGTCTCCCTGCTCTTGGGCAGACACTAACGGCGCCCTTTTATTTTAGCGAGTAGCTTCCGGTTTGGGCCTGGCCTGGATTGTCGGACGGGTTCTCTACGCCTACGGCTATTACACAGGAGGTAAGTGCACACAGGCGTTTGCTCAGGGGACAAAGTTAAAATCCTATGCTACTCGGCTTGTCTTCTTAGCGGAGCTTTAAGAAAAAGGGACGTAACTTGATATTTAGGTGACAGGTGTGTCACCTTTTTACTAACCTTCGTCTAGTAACAAAACTTATTTTTATTGGACATCCTCTGCATTTCAATTGCTGTTCTAAGAACTTTGCAGATGCTGTTTCGCCTTCCAGCAGCTCTCAGATGTGGATAATAGTGTCCTATTTATAGATGGGGAAGCAGGTTCAGAACGATCAAGGCTCTGTGTAGGTCACAGAGCTGCTACGTGGGAACAGGATTCGAAGCCCAGAAGCCTGAGTCCGCAGCCCCCGCCCCTAACAGTGTGCCCGAGGGAGGAGGGGGAAAGACAGTTTTCGCGGTTGGTCCTTACTTTTTCGAAGAAGAGGGGAACCCTGTGAGGGTCCAGGGCCTGTCGTTGTCCCATGCGTGTAAGGTCCACGTCGTCCTTACGTGGCGCTGTGCTCTGCGTAGAGTTGGCTGACCCCTCGGGTCGATGCACAGCCCGGACGCCGTGACAGAGCGGCCTGTGGACGCTGAGCCTCGGCGTTTGGAGCCGCCCGATGACCGCTGCCCTCCTTCTTTTTCAGACCCTAGCAAGCGGAGCCGGGGGGCGCTGGGCTCCGTCGCCCTTCTCGGCTTACTGGGCACCACCGTGGTCTCGGCCTTCCAGCACCTCGGCTGGCTTAGACCTGGCTTGGGCAGTGAGTGCAAATCCTGCCATTAAAGAATGATAGGGTGTCTGAAAACTCTGATTTCGTCCCGAGTGACTTTTATTTCCAGTTACAGTTTTTCTAAATATAATAAAAATTTATCTGGCATCAGCCTCATACGTAACCCCGACTCTGTCACTCATTTCTTGTTGAGTCTTCATCCAAAGTAAATGGCCTGTGGCTACGCGATGGGGGAGCGGCCACGTGTGGAGCACCCCTGCCACCCTGCCAGCAGATGCCTGCTTAGCATGTGAAGTTAGGAAAACACCTGACTGTGGTAATGTGTCCATAATCACGGCTTCTGTCACAGCTGTGAAAAACTGGGTTCGCAGAAGGAAAGTCTTCTAGTTAGGATGTAAGATGACTGACACATAGGATGACAGTGAGGATTTTCAATCTCCCTTGAAGATGCTTCTGTCGCTTAAGAACTGAACACAAGGAGGTGAATGAACAGGAGAATGGAACTGCCTCCGCTTGGATGCGAGATCAGACAGACAGGAATGACAGGAACAGGGAAAACCAGCAACAGAGCCTGGGAGGCGCAAGGTTTTAGCCACGCCTGGCTATTTGCATTTAAACTGATAAAATTTAATGAAACAAACAAAAACCAGTTCCTCAGGTGCTGTAGCCACATTCCAGTGCTCAGCAGCCTGCAGGAGGATCAGAGACAGGATGTGACCCCAGGCCTGAGTCTAAAAAGCCATGCATTCTCCATTGCGAGGCATGTGGGGATGATGGGATGCTCTGGGCCGCCACGAGTGGTCAGTCCTGGCCACAGGACCACCTGGAGCCCTCGGGGAGTTCGATGAGGTCGGGGGGCCAGATCGGCACACTCCAGGGGTAGACTGAGAAACTCTCACGAGTGTAGAGCACAATGAGGATGATGAGGGTGGTTCCCGTAGAGCTGTCACGTACATTCTTACATTAGTGTCCTTTTATGCAGTGATGGGGTGAATGGCAGTGGGGTTTGGTCCTGACTCTAACAAGTAATATAATTAAGAATTTGCAATAAGCGAGGGTGTTTTGGGTTTTTTTTTGTTTTAGCTAGGAAACGCACCTGGAGAGAGGGGGGCACCTGAGGAGGGAGGTCCCTGCCTGCGGCTCAGAGTGTGGGAGGTGGCGAGGCAGGCAGGGGACACCGGCGACACGCTGGGCTTTCACTTCTGCAGTCGTAACGGGGCACGCTTTCAAAGCGACGCGATCCATCGCTGTCATTTTGTCACAGAGAGGGCTCGTGTGCAGTTTCATAAGGGACGCCAGCACATCCAAGGGCGCCGTGATGGAAGTGGGAACCCCGGAGCTCTGCCGTGCAGTTCCCTGGGGCACCCCACCTGATCCATGGGTGGTGGTACGTGTGGCCCTACTTGGCCGCTGGGTGCAGCTCTCCAGCAGGTTCCATTCCCGGGAACCTGTGCTGTGCACGCGCTGCTCTGGCCGTGCGGTCCCCGGCCGGGTCCCCCTCTGGAAAGGTACCGGCTGACTGTGTCACAAGGACACCAGCGTCACATCGGCCTGGGAGCTCCATGCCGCGCCCCAGGCACCCCTACAGGCGGCTGGGCACCGGGGACGGTTCCGGCCTCCCTGAGCCCCGGCTTGTTGCGCGGTAAGTGGGGGTGCCAACGACTCACCGTGCGAAATTGGGGGGCGCCCCGCCCAGCCAGCGCGGGCCTGGCCCCC